ACATAAACATTAACCTACATAGTTATATAAGAACACATGTGTGCATTTGTATGTCACTGATGGGTGCATGTGGATACACACAGAAGAATGGTTACTAGAATTTTGTTAGATAAGGAAATAAAAAAGTCTAATCATCATGTAAGCTTATTATAATAAAATACATAACCAGAAAGGAAATAGTCCAGGCTAAAACAATACATTATTATTCCTTAGAACTTTAAGGACTCTTTTATTTCATTTATTGGGCATAAACAACCTTGGACCTTTAGGGTAGGCGGTAACAATCCTCATTGTATCCTTCAGAACTTCTACCTCATGTCAATACTCTGCAAAATGCACCCACCTCAAGATGGAAGAACAGCCTGAAGTCTAACTCAAGCATAACTTAGCATCTAAGTGTCATTAAGAAAGCTGTTTTTTGTTTGTTTGTTTGTTTTTGTTTGCCTTCAGGTTTTTTTTTATCATGTCATAAAGAGATAAAAACAAAGCAATTACCAATCTTTCAGAGAGAGAGAGAGAGAGTATGAAGTTTTTATAAATTTGATTTTTCAGTTCTGGGGCTTGAACTCTGGGCCTGGGCACTGTCCCTTAGCTTTTGTGCTCAAGGCCAGCTCTCTACCACTTGAGCCACAACACTATTTCTGGTTTGTTTCATGGATTTTTCTACCTGGGCTAGCGTTGAACCGCAATCCTTAGATCTCAGCCTCTTGAGTAGCTAGGATTACAGATGTGAGCCACCCCTGGAGCCTGGCTGAGTCTGTTCTTCATGATATGGGCAAAGGCCTTGAAGACCCAGCTTACAGTATAAATCTAAATCATGCTTGAAACCTGGACATCCTGACCTTATCTGCACACCATGAACTATTAGTTTTTAAGCACTTCAAAAATAGACTGAAAAGACTGCTGGATTAGCATTGCTTTAGAAAAATTGTTTACTTCAGATTATGCAAAATAGGGAATTTGGAAGACATTAAAGTACATAAAAACAAAGGAAAAAGTGCCTCTAAAATTCCATTCCCTAGAATTACAAACTGGTTTCTTTATTGACTGTTCTAACTACACATTCACACACATTTATATTTTTCTATCAATAGAAACATCATTATTGGTGACATCCACAAGACTTTTGTTTTATTGACTTATTTTCTAAGGTGCAGAAGATCAAACCTTAGCATCTGCTAGGCGAGTGCTTTCTTACTTAGCGAAATTCCAGTAGTTCGGAATGGAGGACTGTTCGGATGTATCTTTATTTGAATCAGGGTTGGGAGCATGTGTCTTGTCTTTCCGGGTCTTAATCACCTTAAAGAAAAAAGTGGTATAAGTTAGATACAGCTGGTCACACATTTCATCCATAGTCTCTTCTCTATGGCCAATTACACTTCTCTTTTCACTTTTCCCTCTCTCCTTTACAGAGTTTCTGCGCTTGAGTTAATTACTCTTGTCAGTGGTGACCATGACATGAGCACTTACTTCACTTTCCACCTGGCTTGAGCAGAGCTCAAGCTCTCTTTCCCCTGGGGGAAAGAGAGAGGGCTGGTACACCCAATGGCAAGAGTTGCATGGATCTCAATTGGCAGGAGGGTGGGAGGGGGATACAAAAGTGATACAAGTGTTGGAAGGGAAGTTTGGGGATGTTTGATGGCCCCCCAAACTGGCACATCCAAGAGCATTTGTGTTTCCAGGTGCATTCCAATCTTTATAATCCTACATGAATATGACAGTTGGTCAGTGTGACAAAGAACATCAACTCTGGAGCCCTGTGTGAGCTTTATTGATGATCCACTGTGGTGGGAAATAGTTCCCTCTTTTATAGATGATGTTTTGCCACATGAAAACACAAATTTTTATTCAGTTTTCTCTTAGCTTTGATAAAATCAACAATTCTTTCTCATTTTGTTTGGAGTAACAACATCCACTGAAAATCCTTGAATTTCCTTTCTTTACTATGACCAAACTTTCTTTAAAAAAATTATGCAAAGAACATTTACATAGACAGTGGGCAAAGCTCACTTGTCACTGCACCTGTTGGGATCTGTGTAATAGGAGCCAAATTTTTTAGGGTACTGCATAAAAAGTAACTTGTTCCCTTGGAAGAATAATGCTCCCAATGGAGGACCCACCTCCATGTAACTGTGAATGACGGATCTCAGCTGCCACTTGTCCATGCTTAAGCCCAGTTCAAAGCAGACGAGTTTGATTTTATCACCTTCCTCACAGTCAACATGAGTCAGTCTTCCAAACACCACTACTTCCATCTTCCCTGTGTTATCTTGTATTTCATAATAAGTGCATTCATTCCTCACAGTTTTCTGAAAAGAAAATTCAAATTCTCACTTCTATGACAAAAAAGAAGCATTGGTAGCAACTTCCATCTGGACAAGGTTGAATGAAATTACAGGTGTCAAATGCCTTACAGCTCTTTTGATCAGGAGTTCTTTTGAAACCTCTCAAGCTTTCCTTATTTAAGGTCTTTCTGTACATGTGTTTTCCAGAAATGTGGATTCTTTCCCCAGTTTTTAGCACTACTACATTCCTTCCTTTTTTCTTTCTTTCTTTCCTCCCTTTCTTTTTATTCCTTCCTTCCTTCCTTTCCTTTTTTCTTCCTTCCTTTCCTTCTTTCTTTCCTTCCTTCCTCTCTTTCTTTTTTCCTCCCCTCCTCCTTCCCTGCCTCTCTCCCTCTCTCTCTCCCTCTCTCTCTCTCTCTTCCTTTTTTTCTTTCTCTTTCTTTTTCATTTTCTATTGAAATCCCAGTTTGATCTCAGGACCTTGTATTTGCTAGCAGGTACTCTGCCACTCGGGCCATACTCCAGTCCTTTCTGCTCTCACTTATTTTTTTTAACATGATCTCACTTTTTGTTGGGGCTGGACTGGATTGGGGTTCTCCTATTTATATTTACTGCATAGCAGGGGTGGTAGGCATATACCACCATAATCAACTTTTTATTGGTTGAAATAAAGTGTTGTGAACATTTTTTTGTCCAGGCTGGCCTCAAAACATGATCTTTTCCATCTCAGCTTCCTGGGGAGTTAGGATTGAGTGTCACTGTGCCTGACTCACAGCTGAAATTTCTTAAGGAGTGTGAACAGATAGCCTTGGGATTAGTTTTTGGAGGTTCCTTTTATATCTCATTAATAGCAGAGGAGAAAGGCCAATTATGGCTCATTGTGAGCCTGAGGATGTCTATTGCAATGCTTGTATAAGTGGATTATATTCTCAATATATGACTTCTGTCTGCCATTTATTTATTCTAAACTATTCAAATGCTAAATCCATGTGATCTAGTCCTGCCATGTCAGGTTGTATCTCATTGTATTCATTAATTCTACAGCAACATACATTGTGGTCATTTAAACAGAGCAAGCAGAAAACAGTACATGTGGGGAGACCTACACACAAGAGAACAGAACTACACAAGAGAAGAGAACTACACTTGGAACAAGTGCTGAGAAGGAGCTTGCTGAGGAATGAAATGGGAAGACTCCACTCAAGTCAACCAGTTGGTAAGTTAAGACTTCTAAAGTCTGGGGCTGCAGAAGAAATTCTTCAACATAATGCTTGATCTTACCTTATACACCAAAAATGTCCCGTTCACACATTTCCCTGGACATAGTGAGCAAAGATAATTGATTTTTGGTGTTGCACTGGCGTTGTGCCTCAGTGTAGTTGGGATGTTCAGCTTCTGCTCGGGATGCCCAGGAGACACCCCAGTGATGCTGTATATCTCCAGGAACCCATTGTGGCCAAAATATTCTGTGATGATAATGATCCTGTTTGGGATGAACATCACCTGCAACTTGACATCAAACACCTTCACACGGAAGAATTCGCTCTCAGTAGCCACTGTTGCATGGAACATGGTTTTCTCTCCTTGGTACACAAACAGCGGAGTGACTTTCAGCACCATCACTTCTTTGGGCTCCGTCTGGTAGCCCTGTTCACTGGAAGGTTCCTTAGGTAAAGTTGGCAGCTTTTGTTTCTACTCAGAGTGAACACAGGGAAAAGACAGACATTAGTAAAACTGATAAGGGGATGGGTCACTATCTAATGAGAGCCCTCACAGGCTCAATGTTGATCTAAAGTAGAATTGCTGGGAGGGGGGAATCTAAAAAACAGCTGCATGGTATAACCTAGTTCATGAAGAAGAGAAGATTTAGTTAGTAATTTCTGTTAGCACTAATGGTGGACAGAGATATGTTAAAGAAGCAAATGATAAAGCCCTTTCAACAAATCAAAGTACACACACACACACACACACACACACACACACAATTAGTAGGGTAGCCACAGGAATAACCCCTAAGAGATTTATTATTTGAACAGATTCAAGCTAAATAAAGGTTCCTTGCTGATGGGTACTGGTGGCTCAAGCTTATAATCCTAACTACTTAGGAGACTGAGATCTGAGGACTGTGAGATGAAGCTAGTCCAGGCAAAAAAAAAAAGTGCCTGTGAGACTCTTATCTCCAATTAGCCACTCAAAACCAGAAGTGGAGCTGTAGTTTAAAGTGGGAGAGTGCTAGCCTTGGGCAAAACTGCTCAGGGATAGTGCCCAGGTCCTGAGTTCAAGCCCCATCACCACCACCACCAACAACAACAAAGTTTCTTTGGTTTTCAGAACAGCATTCATTGAGGTGGTGAATTTGGAAAGTTAGATATGTACCATTTTTAACACTTGTCTTCAGCATTATTTTTAAGTTCCAGAAGTGCACTTTGGAGAAACCGTGGCTAATGTGGAGGAGGAAGTATGAAGTCAATCATAAGAATCCATGGAGGCAGCTACAGACCAGGAGAATACTCATGGGATCCAACCTGAACCATACAGATCAAGACGTGTGTGTGGTGGGGCTTACTTCTGACTTATCAATATAGCTAAATGCTTTCTTCCATGAGGAAGCACACTACCAATGGAATTTAATCAGATATGTGGCATTTGACACAGGAGAGATTCCAGAGAGTTAAAATTTAACTATTTTGGTGTCTGTATCTATCTTTCCACAATTTTCTAAAATGATGTTCTTGGTCTAGTTAAAAAAAGAAGGAGAAAGAATTAGTGATGGATTCTGTTTGGCTCTATATTTCTACACTCTATTTTTAACGCTACAATATTACCTTCATAGTTCAGTGAAAGAAAAACAAAATGGAAAAATCACAAGCAGATAAATGCCATCATAATGTTCTATGAACACATGTGAAAACAGAACTAGGAAAATTGAGAGGAAGGATAAGGTTGAGAGAGATGAGGGAAAATGATGAAAAAGGTGATCAAGATGCATTGTACTCACAATGTGACATGTTGAGCTGAAACCCTTTTGTACAACTAAAGGTATTAAACATTAAATAAGCAAATGTCTAATTATACCTCTTGATTATATAAATGGAGCAGAGTATAATAAGAGTTAAAATTTAAATTTATAGATGGGCACCAGTGGCTCATGCCTGTAATCCTAGCTACTCAGGAGGCTGAGATCTGAGGATCATGGTTCAAAGCCAATCTGGGTAGGAAAGTCCATGAGAATCTTATCTCCAGTTAACCACCAGAAAACCAGAAGTGGAGATGTGGCTCAAAGTGGTAGAGAACTAGCCTTGAGTGAAAAGCTCAGGGACAGTGCCCAGACCCTGAGTTCAAGCCCCACAATGGATAAAAAAGATTAAATTTATATCTGATTGTTATACAAGTAATAAAAGATGAGTGACTTATTAATACAAGATTATAGCTGGTGGCCAGTGGCTCAGGCCTGTAAATCCTAACTACTCAGAAGATTGAGGATTGAGATTTGGAGTCAACCAGGGCAGAAAAGCTTTCAAGACTCAGTCTCTAATTAACTAGCAAAAGGCTAGACTGGAGGAGTAACTCAGTTGGTAGAGTACCAACCATGAATGAGCAAGTGAGTGAGAGCATGAGGCCCTGAGTTTAAGCCTTGAAAAGGAAAAGATTCATGGAAAGCTCTTCTGATCTTTGTGTCAATCCCTGTCACTCTATCGTAGGAATGAGAAGTGGTTACTGTGGGTAAGAAACTTCTAGATGATCTCACCAGAGGTGAGTTCTCTGATAGCTGTCTCAACCCCCAGCTTCTCAAACAGAATTTTGTGGAGTGCTTAACACAGGATCTCTCTAAGGTTTATGACTGTATTCATAATGGCTCCTATCCTACCTAAAGCATTATCTTTATATGCCTTGTACAGCATTGCCAAGTAAGCTGGGGAATACTCTAAAATTATGTACACCGATTCGCTTCATTGCACTAGTGAAATTCATTAAATACTCCTCACATTTGGACAGCTTGTTTACCACTTCAGGCATTTGGTACTTTAACTGTTCACCACTTTGTCCATGAAAACAAATCCCAAACATAGCATTGTCTCCTCCAAATGGTTTAAGATGACTTGCAGACATTTTAGCATCTATACACTTCTTGGATTCAAACTCTATGCCCATGAAATGTTCAGGTTTTGAAGCTCATTAAGGCTGGACTTAAATCTTGACTCTAATATCAGTTACCTCTGTGTGTGTGTGTAAATGTGGGAGAGTCTTTACCTTCTATGATCTTCAATTGTTTTATATGTGGATTGAGACAAACAATAGCACTGGCATTTGGCATTATAAAAACATGTATATAAATATGTTTCTGAATCCAAAAACTAAGTAAATGCTCAATTAGGAAACATCCTTTTAAAAAAAGTTTTAGAGTATGTCTGTTTGGATGAATAGATGATTCATGATTTATAATGGTCCCTTAATGGAAATCTCACATAGGAAGCACATAAAAGAAACCCTCCTCAATTTAGGTCTGCCATGTGTAACAATGCAATTTCGTTGAGAAGACAGTTTTGAGCTGTTGTTATCTTTTAGAAATAAATCTAAAATCTTAAACTCTCACTGCCATAGCAGAAGTTTGACACTGAAATTGTAATCTTTGCCCAGTTATTTCTGAATTGTCAGCAGTTTATTTCCTGTTCCAGTAAATCCTCTACCACTCCGCCCTATTCATGACTCATGCTGTTCTGTTTTGTTGATGCACACACACATGGACAGAAACCAAAGGGAACAGTCTGTTTCAGGTTTTGAATCGCCCTAACTCTCTGTCTCTCTCTGTCTCTGTCTGTCTCTCTCTCACACACACATACACAAAGCACAGAAAGAACTCATAACATGAAGAAGAATGCTTAAGAGAAGCTCTGATAAATAAAAGCAAAACTGTCCTGTTTACATAGTGAGCCATAGACAATATTATCATACACCTTTTGTGAAGACAGTTGGACTTAAAAAGAAATGACTACATCATACATTTTGATACATGAGGCTACAAGGCTGGTATGTCCCACTGGGGTCCTGTAATCCCACGAGATTTCAGGGCAACAGAATGATTTCTCTGGGAGTAGAAATGAGAGTGCTGCTTCTGTATGTAGGCCAGATCTTAGAAAGTCAGATATGCATGGACATAGTACAATAACATGGCTGTCATTGTAGTAATAGTGACACAGGGGCCTGCGGTGACAATGTCTAAACAAGGGCTTTATCCAAATCTAGTATTCTCTACAATGACTAGAAAGATAGGCAACTAGCTTTACTCCCAAATAACCAAATAAGAAATCTAAAGGGAAATACCAATTTTCAGAGTTAACAGCAAGAATAATTTTACAAGTTTAGAAAATCTATGTGTAGAAAGTCTGTCCAAGACAACTTCAAGTTTAGATGAGAACCGCATCAGAGAACAGTGACTTTAACATCCTATACTCCAAGCTGCTGTGGGATAGTCATTCCTGACAACTCCTATACTGGCTTCAGAACACACAGGAACCCACCAGGGTCACACAGAAAGCCAAGCTGGGTACAAGCTGACAGCACAAGTGTGAACTCACTATTCTATTCATTCTTCTCCTGTCTTCCCCTGGAACAGGGGGAAATCAATAATTTGAGTTCGTTGTCTAATAAAAAAGGACATATGTTAATTCCAGTTGCAATACAAAGTGTTAATGAAGTAGTTAAAGGACGCTAGAAGACCAATAATGGGAAGATATGATCTACTCAGAGAGAATCTGCCCAGCACTGATGGGGAAGAATTTAATAACAAACAAAGAAATGCAATTGGGGGTGTGTGGGGAGGATGGGAAGGGGAAACAAAGGAGGAGGCTACAAAGCTTGATAAGAAATGTACTCATTATCTTGCCCATGTAATTGTAACCCCTCTGTACAGTATTTTCACAATAAAAAATCATAAAAAATAGATGCACAAATTAAGAATGTCAACATGGTTACACACCACCTCGCTCATCTGGAAAAGCCTTATGGAACTTAGTAATGGAAACAAATCCAAAACATAACACTATTCACAAATTTAATGAACATAAATTACAGATAATATATATGTAACATCTATAGTTAATATATAACATCCATATATAATAACATCTATATTTTATATATGTTATAAACATCTCACCTTTGATTAGGGAGAAATCAATTTGCATTATCAAGCACTCAAATTTCAGAGTTCAGTAATGCTGGATTCAGTTTCTTAACACTTATAATGTACACAATCTTGGACAAAATATTTAGTCAATGAAAGCCAATTTCCTGACACATGAACTAGAATAGGTGTGATGTTTGTTGTAGAGGATAAATGAGACTATGTTTCTGAAGAGCCAGGCTTCAGAATTTACCACAAAAGGCTCAGCATGGAAATACCAATCTGGGCATTGTTATTTTGAGGTCTCTTTGGAGATTTGTGTTTCCCTTCTGACCCATAGATGATCACTGCTTTATGGTGACACTTTGGTCATCATAAAGTCAGTGAGTGCATCTAGGAAATCTCAGATACAGGAAGTATGAGAAATATTTCACTAAAGAACATTGTCTTCTTTTCTGCAACATGGACCACTTTAATCTCACTGGTGAAGGCATCACATACATCTTTCAAAATCAGTGAGATCAAAGGAGTTGATACCTATGGTGTGAACATATGTTTCTGCCTCTACCTTTTCATGGACTGGTGCATGGTACCTATATTAGTTTCCCTGCAACTCAACATTTCCTAGTCAAGAAGAAAGACATACACATATTACATTTGTATATAATGTTGTGTTGTATGATGTAATATGTTGTACAATGCCCTGGTACACTGAAATGGAATGGAATGGATGAATATGATATAATTGTAAGTGCTAACAAGAAAACAACCCAAGGAAGAAAAGAGCAGGAATGTCTGATGCATCTTGGAATGGGATCTAGATAAGAATTGTACATGGAGGTTGAGAGTAATTAAATTAATGGGGAAATGATTCTGAACATAGAACACACACCATGATCTCTGACCTGGGAAAACAGCATGGAATATAAGAAGAACCCTGTAGGAGGGCCCAGAACAAAGGGGAAGGAGGAGAGGGAACAAGAGCAATGAGTCCATGCCTATTCATCTTCTATGTCTGGTTACCCTCCTGTTCTCTTTCAAATCAACACAAGACAGTGGTCCTCCTGAGTCAGAGGTTATTTTATAAGCACATACACTGCACATGGCAAAGGAGTTAAAAACTAGCAGGATCTAAAAATACACACCTGGTAGATGAATTATGACAATGAATAATTAAATGAGTGGGGGTTACATGAATGTTTCAAGATTTTTTTGAGAATATTTTTTGTTTATGTATTGAATGTTGAAACTGAAATGGAATAAGCAATATTATTATGACTTCTGAACTTCTGGTTTCCTATACATATATTTATTTACTGTACATTTTTATTGTAAAAATGCTGTACAGAGGGGTTACAGTTACATGAGCAAGGTAATGAGTACATTTCCTATCGAGCATTATTGCCTCCTCCTTTGTTTTCCCCCTGCCATCCCTTCCCTCCTACCTCTATAACTACCCCTCCCCCCGCCACGCGTTGCCCCCCCTCACCCCCACCAATGATGTAAAGTTCGTTTTCAACATAATGTTTTGTACATCTCATTGTCACAATGGGTCACATTTTGTTTTTTCCCTTCCCCTCCCCGAATTAGAGAAGTGTATATACAAGATTTGGGGCACCAACATCAAGTACAGTGAAAACAGAGGTTATACTATGGGGGAGAAACATACAAAGAGCCAAAAAAATCTTTCAAGATTTTGAACGTTGTAATTATGTGAAGAAGGAGAAGGGATGGGAAGGGAGAGTTGGTACCTTGGCTGTGGAACTGCTGGAAGTGGGGGGAAGACGGTTGGGAGGGGTCTGAGGCTGAGCCTGTGCTGGCTGTGTGCTGGTGGCTGAAGATTCTTCTAGCCAGAGCTTCCTCTTGGATAGCAAGTTTCTTTCCCAGTCATCCATTTTGGTGGCTCTTTTCCCCTTTGAAGAAAAATCATTTTTTTAAATTCTATTTTTATTATCTTTGAGTAGTTGTACTAAGGAGTTACAAATCAACATGTTTATGGATAGATCAATATCACACCTTTCATCATTCTCCCCCATTCCTTCAGTTTTCCTAATTTCATGGGATACGCATGAAGTATTGTAATATTATGGCTACATTTGCCCCAACCCTTTTTTTTCTCCAATTATTATTTTGGGATAATGATTCTCAAAGTCACAGAGAGCACCACAAAGTTTTCCTTATTTCTTCTCATGCAGGATCATGACTTTGCAGCTTTCTCCAGAATGACAGCACAGGTTGTGATACTTCCCCATCCTGCCCTCTTCATGATTCATGCCAGTTTAGGCTATTTGTTTCAGGGAAATGTAGCAGCAATGCATCAAAGATAACAGTAATTTACTTCCTGGTTTGATTCCAGAAAGTGAAAGAAATCACAGGGTAAGGAATGTATTTGAAATGTTATGCTGTAGAAAAGCAAGGATGATTTGTTCCCATGGTGGGCCATACAATGGCTAGGGAACCTTTCTGGGAAGAAATGTTATGGAATGCCTGCATGGTGTGTTTAAATGTCTGGGTCCAAGGAAGCAGATGAATCAACTTTTTATCCTATGACTCATCGTGATTCCGGGAAGCATACTAGCATAAACAGCTTAACATATTTAAGCAAATGGGACCATAGAAAGGACCACTTCCAAGCATGGATCCCTAAAAAAAAAATTAAAGAGAGGGTTGTGAAATGTTCTCAAGTATCTTTGTAGTGACAAAGTGACAGTGGGGTTGAGTCTACATTCAATGACCATGCTGAGGCTTCAGTGATGACCAGCAGAACCAAGATGCAAAGCGAAACATGTTGTTAGCTCAGTGCCATCAATAAAGCCTACTGAAGGAGTTAGGAGTCATTAGAGTTAGTAACAATAGCTATGTACCTAATTTAAGAAACAGACAAATCCAAAGAAGAAAATCTATCTTCATAAGGTAGGATGTTGGAGGCTGCAGACTGGGTTAAAAGAGTATGATTAGAATTTCTGCTTTTGCCTCATGCTCCAGTCGACTCATTGTAGCTCAGAGCACAGGGTCATTTATGGACAGAAGAAGGGACAAGTTGGAACAGCATGTACTCATTTTTCTTCTTCTACTTTTCATTCACTTGCTCAGGGCACCTCTATCTGAACTCTTGTCTAGTTTGAAAGAAAGGCAAACAAATATTGTAACAGTGTAATATAAACATAAGGTAATATTGCATAATCTAATGTATTGACATAATACAACTGTAAGTACAAACAGAGAAACATACCAAGACCCAAGGAAGAAAACAATAGGAAAGTCTGATGCATCTTAGAATAGGATATAGAAAAGAATTGTACCTGAAGGTTGAGAGTATTTAAATCACTGGGGAAATGATTCTGAACAAAGAATACACACCACGATCTCTGACCTGGGAAAACAGTATGGAATATAAGAAGAGCCCTATAGGAGGGCCCAGAACAAAGGGGAGGGAGAAGAGGGAATGAGAGCCATGAGTCCATGCCTATTCATCTTCTATGTCTGGTCACCCTCCTGTTCTCTTTCAAATCAACACAAGGCAGTGGTCCTCCTGAGTCACAGGTTATTTTATAAGCACATGACAATGGAGTTAAAAACTAGCAGGGTCTGGCAAATGAATTATGACAATGAATACTTAAATGACTGGGCATTACAGTGTGTTTCTTTTTTTGGAGGGGTGGGGGTCCAGTCGTGGGGCCTGAACTCTGGGCCGGGCGCTGTCCCTCTGCTCTTCAGCTCAAGGCTAGCACTCTACCACTTGAGCCACAGCGCCACTTCTGGGATTTTTCTTTTTGCAGTATGTGGTGCTGAGGAATTGAACCCAGGGCCTCAGGCATGCAAGGCAAGCGCACTATCACTGAGCCACCTTCCCAGCCCACATGTGTGTTTCTTTCAAGATTTTGAGCGCTGTAATTATGAAGAAGGAGAAAAAAAAGATGGGAAGGGAGAGTTGGTACCTTGGCTGTGGAACTGCTGGGAGGAGGAGGAGGAAGTTTGGGAGAGGTCTGAGGCTGAGCCTTTGCTGAGTGTGTGCTGGTGGCTGAAGTTCCTGGAAGCGAGATCTCCCTCTGAAATTGCAGGTTTTGTTCCCCGTCTTTCACTTTGGTGGTTTTTTCCTTTTTCTCAAAAAAAAAAAAAAGAAAGCAGATTTTTTTTCTCCTTTATCCCAGGATAATAATTTTCAAAATCACATAGAATGTCACTATTCCTCCTTCGTTGCTTTTCAGGTAATATGGTTCCTTCCAACTTTCTCAAGAATGGCGACAGCCATTTAGATATTTTCACCACCTATTTTCCTCCCATACTTGGATTAAAAATCTCATTTTGTAAATACTAAAAGCCAAGCTAAAATTTCCATGGCTTGGGTGAAACTGGGGTTCTGCATGTGCTGCTCATTGCATTATGACACCTTGGCCAAGCACAAAATTTAGGGTTATTTATTTATTTTTGGTAAACAATAGTGTCATCCTATAATAAAAGCAAATCCCAGAACAAACTCTGGTTTTGTTATGCTTTTTAGCCTTTCTTATCATGAAAATGTACAAATTAGTTCCTGAAGAATGTTCTCTAAAAATAAACCCCAAACAAGCATACAACAACAAAAGGGGCTGGATGCCAGGGCTGGTGGCTCATGCTTATAATCCTAGTTACTCAGGAGGCTAAGTTCTGAGGATAGTAGTTTAAAGACAGCCTGGGCAGGGAAATCCAGAAGACTCTTATCTTCAATTAACCACTCCATAAAACTAGAAGTAGAGTTGTGGCTAAGAATTTAGAAAGCTCAAGGACGGTATCTAGGCCCTAAATTCTAGTCTCATTACCGAACAAAAAAAAGCAGGGAGATGGGGGTAGGTTGGGGGAGGCCTGGCATGGTGGTATTCGCTTATGATCTTAATTATTCATTTTAGAAGTGAAAATAGGAGACTCATGATTTAAAGCCACCCTGGATAAAGTTAGCAAGACGTTGTCTCAAATTTAAAAAAAAAATTAAAACCACAATCTGTGGTTCACAGCTATAATCCAAGCTACTTTGAAGACAGAAGTAGAAAGATTATGATCTAGGTGCTGGTGGCTCACACCTTTTAATTCCAGCGACTCTGGAGGCTGAGATCTAAGAACTGAGGTTTGAAGCCACCCTGGGCAGGAAAGTCCATGAGACCACTCAGAAAAATCTTGAAGTATCACTGTGACTCGATTAGAGTGGTAGCCTTGAGGAACAGAAGTTCAGGGACAATGTCCAGGCCCAGAGTTCAAGCCCCAGACTTGCAAAAAAGAAAAAGAAAGAAAGAAAGGAAGAAAGGAAGAAAGAAAGAGAGAGAGAGAGAGAGAGAGAGAAAGAGAAAGAAAGAAGGAAGGAAGGAAGGAAGGAAGGAAGGAAAGAAAGAAAGAAAGAAAGAAAGAAAGAAAGAAAGAAAGAAAGAAAGAAAGAAAGAAAGAAAGAAAGAAAGAAAAGAAAGAAAGAAGAATATGGTTTAAGACCAGCCTGGAAAAAAACACAAAGCCTTATCAAAAACAAACAAAATCAAAAAAGGCTAGAATCAGGGCTCAAGAACAGGATATCCTGATGTCAATGCTCAGTACCACAAAATAAAACAAGCATTTAGCTGATCTTTTAGTAGCCGTTATTGGAGGAAGTAAGGATTATTAGAAACAACAATAGTAACAATAACAAAAAAGGAGAAGAAAACATTGATAGTCCCTTTCTGTAGCAACTCTGTCTTCCACCAGTGTGTGAGGGCTGGAGATGTGGATGTAGCCTGGGGGGAAAGTACAGCTTGGGTCTTGAGTTAGAAATGACATTAGAGAATAGCAAATTCACTCTGCTCTTACCTTCACCGTTTGTGGATGTGGACTAGCTGTTCCTTGCTCTTTTACCCCAGACACAGATGGCACAGCATCAGGTTGCTGGTAATCCCATCAGGGCAGAAAAAAAATAAGTCAAAACAAGTCATATTATGATCGGAGTTGATAAGTAGAGTTGTGGAGTCACTGTTCTACCTTTGTATTCTCAACCCTCCAAGAAAGCCCACAGATTTTCAGAACTTATTGTCTAGTACAGAAGAAAGACATCCAGGTATGGTGAAATTGTTGAATGTTCTTATCTGCTCTTCTGGGGAGGGCACTTTGATGAGGCCCTATTTGAGGACAGGGTTCATATTGTCACCTGAATGTTCAGTGCATTTGGCTGGGGAAGAGATAGGAATAACGAATAATGAAATAATGAATTCCAAAACATCCAGCATACAAGGATCCTAGAAAACAGAATGTAACCTTACAAGTTTGGTGAGAAAGGCAAAAGGGATGAGAACAAATTGACATATGGGTAATGAATATACTCTTAGCTTTATGTCTGCTTGTCTGGCCATGCCCTGAAAGTAGTCCTAGAAATTAGATTATAAATTATTTCCTATGTGCAGACCTTGTAAAGAGCAAAATAAGCAAGAAGACTGTTTTCTTGATAGATGTTTTTGATGAGTGATTGAATTCTATATTGTAGAATTGTACGGCAGTACTTGTGATACTTTGTGATGTGGAGGCAAGTACTGGGACAGGAAATTGGCACCTTGATTGAGGAGCTGCATTTTGGTGGAAGAGGCAGAGAAGTCTGGGAAGAGCCTTGGGTTTTCTGTGTGCCAGTCATTGAAGATTCCGGACTCTGACTCTGCTCCTTAATTCTTTCAGAGTCTGTAGTTTTTATAGCTTTGGCTTTGCCTTTCTAAAAGAAAAATATTATTATTTCTAGTGCTATGGATGTAACCCACAGGCCTGTGTGTGCTACAAAGGTGCTTTACTACTGAACTACATCCCCAGCCCTTGGTAATGGCTACTTTTTAAATCATAGATGAAATACGGTATTTTTCAATACTGAGAAAAATCTACATTTTGGTACTAGATTCTAGTTACATTTATGTCCTTAGAAGCTCCAGGAGTTACAGTCCATTCTCTGAAAAATAAATTGCCCTAAGACAAGAAGTAGACACATACAATTGCCTTGTAAAAAAAGAGTAGAGGCACTTTATACATGTCATTCTTTTACTCAGTTCTGTGGTGATAGATGAGCAGTAGATGTGGATTTAAAAGGTTCAGTTTTGGATTTTGATTCTAAATATGCTTTGAGAAGCCATTTTCCTAAGCTGAACCTTAGTTTAGTTCATGTCTAAAGAAAGGATACTGATAAGGAATTATATACAATAAAGTTCATAGGAGTCCTAAAACAAAAACAAAACAACTGAACAGTAACCATAAATTTGCTAATTCTGAACCTCCATCTCATTACATTCTTGAACTGGACAAAGAACCGAGTATGTACGTGAAAATAACAAGGAGTAGTGATGGTAGAGGGAGCTTTGCCAATAGGAGCTTAGTCACATTACCTTTGGTTTCAAATCTCCATTTTTGGCAGGTGTAGATTGGGTACCACTGGGTTCATCCTGCTTCTTTTTTTGTCCTGAAGTGGTTTCTTTCCCTTTTGACTTCCTTTGAACTATTATAGTGAAGAACACACACACACACACACACACACACACACACACACACACACACACACACACACACAGAAGTCCAGATGAATCGGTCCAAGAGAGCTGAAGCAGTTTCAGGATTATTTCTACTCAGTTTGTGCATCTGTAGTTAGCAGTAGCAAGTCAGACCTAGGTACAGCCGAGTGATTCCCTTCACATCTCTAAAAGGAGGCTTTTTAATTTAAATGCTGTCTCATATGTATGGCCCAGAGAGGAAATTAATAATGAAATCTATATCCTCAGGAAGCAGTAATATTCATTGGCTTAATTTTTTGTCAGTTATGGGGTTTGAACTCTGGCCTGGGTGCTATCCCTGAGCTTGTCAGCTCAAGGCTAGTGCTCTACCACTTTGAGCCACAGCACCACTTCTGGTTTTCCGGTGGTTAATTGGAGATAAGAGTCTCACGGAAAAAAAAAAGAGTCCACGGACTTCCCTGCCCAGGCTGCGTTTGAACTGAGATCCTCAGATCTCAGCCTCCTGAGTAGCTAGGGTTACAGGCATGACCCTATTGGGGCCCAGTGATTTATTTATTTATTTAGTTTGTCAGTTAGGGGGCTTGAACTCTTGGCCTGGTCACTGTCCCTCAGCTCTTCAGCTCAAGGCGAGTACTCTACTGCTTGAGCCATAGCCCCACTTCTGGTTTTCTAGTGGTTAATTGGATATGAGTCTCTCAGGCTTACCTGTCCAGGCTGGCTTTGAACCGTGATCCTCAGATCTCAGCCTCCTGAGTAACTAGGATTACAGGTGTGAGCCACTGGCACCCGGCCTTAGATTTTTTTTTTTTTTTTGGGTCTGGTAGTGGGGCCTGAACTCTGGGCCTGGGTGCTGTCCCTCAGCTCTTCAGCTCAAGGTTAGCACTCTACCACTTGAGCCACAGTGCCACTTCTGGCTTTTTTCTTTTTGCTTATGTGGTGCTGAGGAATCAAACCCAGGGCCTCATGCATGCAAGACAAGTGCTCTACCACTGAGCCACCTTCCCAGCCCCCTTAAATATTTTTAAAATGTCCTTTTCTCTAATTTTAGATTGCCATTTTTCTGATCTTGCCAATATATTACAAGTTCTTGTTCTTCATAACAACTTCTGCTTTTTCCTTTACCACCACCCCTAAAAGATACCTCCGTCCCCTTAACCCCTCCAGCCACAGATCGGAAGTCACTATAGGAAGGTGCTAAGCTGTTAACTTACTGGCATCAGAGATACCCTCATTGCTGTCATTACAATGGGACAGGCACATGTCAGCTGTGATGAAGGAATTATGAATTAGGAGGGGCTTCTTCCTTACCTTTTGTCTTTTCTTTTTTAAGAGTTTGAGCGAGATCTTCAAGTCCTGGTATATCTTTGAACAATTGAATCAGTCTGCCCACTCCAGAATCACTTGGGAACTTTTCTTCCAGCAAGTCTGCCATTGTAATTCTATCACAATTCTCCTGTGTTTTTCTATTCAGTTTTAATTCTTTGGTCAGTAAAGACTTAATTAATTTAAAATGATATTCACTGATACCCTCTAATCCTTTCAGCAGAACAATTTTCTTGTAGTTATTTGCCATATCGCCAGTAATGGTCTGAGCCTACAAAAGAAAACCCTCATAGGTTATTATACATATAGTCTATTTCAAAAACAGGATGTTCCTATGTGAGTGGGTGACTCAGGCTAAGCTTGCTCACAGGTGTAGGTATGAAAAAGAGGAACTTAATTACCCAAATAGGTCACTAGGAGAACTGCTATGTGGAGCGTATCCTTACCTATGGATGATGCTAGATCAGTTGGGTCAGTGGTAGGGGTCGTAGGAGAAGGTCTGGAGAGGGGCAATTGTTGCAGAGTATAAAATACAAGCTGTACAGTGCTGGATTCTTTCCACCCCTCTTGCTGCTGCAGCCTAGCCCTAGACATTTGTCTATGGGTTCTTGATATATCTCACATCTCTTAGGACTGAAGTGGCCTATGTGTAAATCAACTCGCCATCTCACCCTCTACATAAATGACAGTCTGCCGCATGCTGGGTCACTAAACCTGGTCAGCTTGACTCTTCCCTAATGCTCTTATTAGCATCGCCATCTCACTTTCCTCCATTTCCTCCTGTGCCCCTATTCCTGTCACTTTGCTGAACACCCACATGTTGTTGTCTAGTGTAATCATAGTGATCATCGGCTAGATTTCCGCCATTCACTGCTTAACTATTTTCCTTTTAGATGTGATTACCTTAAACACTTATTTATTCATAGAGCCAGTTTTCTCTCTATAAGCTCTGTGGCTCAATTCTTCTGCAATTTCTTTAAACAAATTTCTTGCTCCTTGAATATGAGATGTACAGACACTATGTCAAAAACGAACTTTACAACTTTGGAGGGGGGAGGGAGGGACTGGGGAGGTGGGGAGGGAAGGGATGGTAGGGGAAAAACAAAGGAGGGGGTAACAACGCTCTTTACCCTACTCATTACCTTACTCATGCAACTGTAACCCCTCTGTACAGTATCTTTACCATAAAAAAGTATATATTAAAATAACTAACTTTTAGGATGACAAACATGATCCCAAAGTGATATCTTTATCTACCATCTGATGTAGTGTGGAGCTAATGAAAAATTTAAATGTACTTAGGAAAATATTACAACACCACATATTTGAATAACTGTATTTGTGAATACAGTTTGTGAATACAATTTTATGTGAATAGAGTGTTTTGGGGAAAATGCAAGGTTTTTTTTTTTTACTATGTATGTGAGTTTTTTCTCATGTTTTACAAAACTTGAATAATACTATGAAATATAGACCTGTGTCAAGATACATTTTTTATTTTTTTTAAATTTTTATTCATTTTTTATTGTGAAAATACTGTACAGAAGGGTTACAATTACATGGGCAAGATAATGAGTACATTTCTTATCAAGCATTGTAGCCTCCTCCTTTGTTTCCCCTTCCCATCCCTTCCCAGCCTCTCCCTGCCACCCACCCAATCCTCCCCACCCCCTGCCCCCTACCAAAGTTGTAAAGTTCGTTTTCAACATAACGACTTGTACATCTCATTGTTGCAATGGGTCCACCTGTATCCTTATTTAAATGACTTGTTTTTCCCCTTCCCCTCCACAAATTATACCTACATCAAATACAGTGAAAGCAGGGGTTATACTGTGGGGGAGGGACATACAAAGCAACAAAGAAATAATCTTATAAATGCGTTAGAAACAATCACATGA